GATCTAATGATTTGTGTCAAGCAGCTCTGTGACACAAGTCTCTTCTCTATGGGCTGCTGTCCTGGACACACACACATCAACGGTGCCAATAACTTGGTGAAAGACACTGTTTGGTCTGCCTGAAGCTTGTTGGTCTTCCAGTGTGAAGCGTGACCTTGACTGAGTGTTGCATTCTGGTATATTCCAAGGTGTGCTGAGAGATGCACTGAAGCTTGGGGCAGCTGCTGCTGAGGTGCAGTGGGGAAAACCCTGCCACTAGGATCTTTCTACCAAAGTATATCAAGGGTCTGTCCTGTTGTCAGACCTTCTGTGTCTCAAAATGCCCGTTCAAAAAGTTTTGTGCATGAGTAGAAAATGCCTTTTGTTTTTGCAACTGGAGAGAAGCTCTAAGAAATGTCAAAATTCCAATTTTTTTTCAATTTTTTTCTTTATTTGCAAAGACTGTACAGAACTGATTTAGAACATTTGTAAGTGCTTCTAGATCTTAGGGATAAAGTATATTTTTGAAATAAAATGGTTGCATGCAGGTGCACCAACTAATTAGGGTGGTTGGAAATGGGTTGGAGTTTAAAAACTGGGTAATCCTGTTACAACTGTGCAGAATGGTGGGTAGGCTACAGCTGGAGTACTGTGTACTGTTTTGGTTGCCGTTTTCAAGAATTCCTAAACAGTTAGGCCTTCATACATTGGACTATGGAAGTTGAGTGATCTGATTTGAAATATACAAAATTCTGAGAGGGCTTGACAGTAGATATTGAGAAGACGAATAATAGGGCACTCTGAAACTAGGGGACACTTGTAAAACAGATGAAAAAGAATTTCTGCTCCCAGAGGGTAGTAAATGTCTGGAATTCTCTAACATATAAGAACTAGGAGCAGGAGTAGGCCATCTGGCCCCTCGAGCCTGTCCCGCCATTCAATAAGATCATGGCTGATCTTTTTGAAACTCCGCTCCACTTACCTGCCCACTCACCATAACCCTTAATTCCTTTACTGTTCAAAAATTTATCTAGCCTTGCCTTAAACGCATTCAGCGAGGTAGCTTCAACCGCTTCACTGGGCAGGGAATTCCACAGATTCACAATCCTTTGGGTGAAGAAGTTCCTCCTGCCCTCAGTCCTACATCTGCTTCCCTTTTGTTTTGAGGCAATGCCCTCTAGTCCTAGTTTCCCCTGCTAGCGGGAACAACCTCCCTGCCTCCACCTTATCTATTCCCTTCATAATCTTATGTTTCTATAAGATCTCCCCTCATTCTTCTGAATTCCAATGAGTATAATCCCAGTCTACTCAATCTCTCCTCATAATCCAACCCTCTCAACTCTGGAATCAACCGAGTGAATCTCCTCTGCACCCCTTCCAGTGCTAGTATATCCCTTCTCAAGTAAGGAGACCAAAACTGCACACAGTAGTCCAGGTGTGGCCTCACCAGGACCCTATACAGCTGCAGCATAGCCTCCCTGTTTTTAAACTCCATCCCTCTAGCAATGACAGACAAAATTCAGTTTGCCTTTTTAATTACCTGCTGCACCTGCAATCCTACTTTTAGCGATTTCATGCACGAGGACACCCAAGTCCCTCTGCACAGCAGCATGCTGCAATTTTTTTAACCATTTAAAACATAGTCCATTTTGCTGTTATTCCTACCAAAATGATGACCTCACACTTATCAACATTGTAGTCCATCTGCCAGACCTTTGCCCACTCACTTAGACTATCTATATCCCTCTGCAGACTTTGTGTCTTCTGCACACTTTGCTCTACCACTCACCTTAGTGTCATCTGCAAATTTTGACACACCACACTTAGATGATTTGGAGTTGGGGACTATGTAAATTGTAAACCATTGCGGTCCCAACACTGATCCCTGAGGCACACCACTAGCCACTGACCGCCAACCAGAAAAACACCCATTTACCCCTACTCTTTATTTTCTACTAGTCAACCAATCCTCTATCCATGCCAATACATTACCTGTAATACCGTGCAACTTTATCTTATGTAGCAGCCTTTGGTGTGGCACCTTGTCAAATGCCTTCTGGAAATCCAGATACACCACATCCACAGGTTCCCCATTGTCCACCATGCAAGTAATGTCCTCAAAGAATTCCACCAAATTAGTTAAACATGACCTATCCTTCATGAACCCATGCCGGGTGTTCCCAATGGGGCAATTTATATCCAGATGTCTTGCTATTTCTTCCTTAATGATAGATTCAAGCATTTTCCCCACTACCAAAGTTAAGCCAACTGGCCGATAGTTATCTGCTTTTTATCTACTTCCTTTTTTAAACAGTGGCGTCACATTGGCTGTTTTCCAATCTGTGGGAACCACCCCAGAGTCCAGTGAATTTTGGTAAATAATTACTAGTGCATTTGCTATTTCCCCCATCACCTCTTTACCATACTTATTAACCATAAGTGTTGGTGGAGACTAGATTGCCAGAGGTATCTAAAGAGGAGGGTGGTGTGTTTTTTAATTAAATATGCAGGAGTTGATGGCTATACTGAGGTGGCATGAAAGAGTAGTTGAGGCCTGGGGCAGGTTAGAGAGATCTACAGCTGAGTGGAAGGCTCTTCAGACCATTGTATCAAACAACCATCTAATTACTGTGATCCCCTTTTCCAGTACTTGGCCTATTGCCTTGTATCCCTTGGCAAAACAAGTTCACACATCTAAATATATCTTAAATGTTATGAGGGTTTCTGCCTTTACCACCCTTACAGCCAGTGAGTTTCAGTATCCCTCAGGCTGGAAGTTTTTCCTCGCATCCCCTCTAAACCTTCTGACCCTAACTTAAATCATGATCCCTCGTCTTTGATTCCTCCATCAAGTGGAAAAGTTTGTTCTTACCTTTCCTATCTATGCCACATATCAGCCATGATCTTGTTGAATGTCAGGATGGCTTGACAGTCAATGCCCTAATTGTGCTACTGTTTCTTATGTACAAGTGTTGGGATAAAACCCAGAAGAGGTTACTTAAAGATGAGTAAATTAAAGCTGATGTTGGACCCCTGTCTGATTTTTCATTATTTTTATTCTTATTCTTCTTATCAGTTTTGAATTCAGAACTGGAAATGACTAGTGTACTTTGGGACAGCCGGGCTTGCAAGCCAATTGTGCACTGAGCTTTGACTTTAAAATGTTCTAACAAACGGACTCTGGAAAGAGCATTATCCATAGAACCCCTACAGTGTGGAAACAGGCCCTTCGGCCCAACTAGTCCACACTGACCCTCGGAGCATCCCGCTCAGACCCATTCCCCATACCTACCTAATCTATACATCCCTGAACACTACGGGCAATTTAGGATGGCCAGTCTATCTAGCCTACACATCTTTTTGGTCTGTGGGAGGAAACCGGAGCACCTGGAGGAACCTCCGCAGACACAGGGAGAACGTGCAAACTCCACACAGACAGTTGCCCAAGGGGGAATCGAACCCGGGCCCCTGGCGCTGTGAGACAGCAGTGCTAACCACTGACCCACCGTGCCATTATGTTTAAACAGATAGTTGAAGTTGGCCATTAACAAGGTTAATACCTGGGAATTTATTCCAGCAAGTTTTGAAGAGACCCTATGTTCATACAGATGGCAATTGTTGAATGATAATTGAGGCCTCGAAAGAGTCTATATCATTCTCCCTCAGGGTGGAACGAGGATTAAAGTCTTTTCTTTTAACTGTTTTCTGTGAGGTGATTGTGGTCTGCTGCTGAGACAGCATGAAGATTTGAAAGCTCCCTGCCTAATGTGATACACCGGCTTCTGGAAGCCCAAAGAGTCGAAAGCTGAGTTAGAAGTATTACTGCCTTTGCCTAGGTGAACTGAAAAGGTGACCAAGTCAACATTTCTGAAAGATGACCAAGGAGTCCACGTATAGGCCTATGAAACAACTCATCATAAAAGCCATTTAAGCCAAGTTTGTTGGTTTCTTTAGTTTATCCCTTAACTGCAGGTGTGTGGTTCACTTGTATGTGAATAAGATTAAGAACAAATGTTTCAAGTTTATGGCACAGACATTAATCAGTTTAATGTGTTGTTTAATTTCTCCACTAAAGTTACTGTGTATTTAGTAGTTAAGACACAGAACCAATCTGGAAATTAATTATTCACAGAGGCTAGGATTGATCATTTCTAAGTCTGGTTACAAATCATTGGCGTGACTATTTGAGAGTCTTCATTTTAATTTTACTGTGTTGTGAATGCAAAGGTAGAAAGGCTGATTTGTTTCAGTGGTCAGTCTCCATGTTGTAACACTCAGGCATGTGAAAGCTTCTTCCTGAAGCTATGTTCAGTTCCAGTCAAAAAGTTGAAGCTACAGTAAAATCTTCTAAGGTGTTGGATACAGGGACTGTGGGATGAGAGTGCTATTTTGGGGGACTGTACTCAGGTGTTTGGGTGTAATACAAAAGCAGTTTTGATTTTTGTTTTCAATTTTATGAAGGAGTTACTGAGTTTAATAGAATTTTATTTTTGCTGTGTTTAAGCATGTTTGAATCACTAAATGGTTTGGTTTATTCTATTTTGTCTTTTTGTTAACGTTCTGTTTTATTGTTAAAGCAAAGCATGCAGCATAGCATGCTTGTGTTTCAGCAAGAAATATAATTGTTAAAACCAAAACAAATCAAAATATTGACGTATCAAGCCAGGTTTCTGTCTGGGTCTGTCTTGTCAAGTAATAACTTTAGCTGAGATCATAACAGTGATTGTTATCAAATCAAATTTAACTGCACACCAAAATCCAACAGTTCACACGAGTGCATGCTACAAGTTGGCTATCACTTGGACTAAATGTCATTTATGGAGCTGTATAAAAGATTTGTCTCGCTCTGGATAAGTTAACACTGCTACTAAATCAGCAGATGTAGCAATACCTTTGCAAACATTGTTTCTGAAAACAATTATATCCAATCCCTTTATAGAGAGATCAGCCAGTAAAGATACCCAAACACACAGCAGTGAAAAGGTTAGTCTACAAATAAGCAATATGATTATACTGAGGAATTTCCAAAATGAGAACAACTTTATTCAATTTGACATCTGTTGATTACCAAAGAAAACAACAAACGAATTCTGTTTATTGTCATCACAACTGTGTTTTACTCACAGGTTTAAGGCAGGTTTTTATTTTTTTGGAGGTGCTGGGTTTCGACCTGTACCCCTCTCTATGTCACCCACACAGTGTGTTTCTCACTGCTTAAAGAGAGTGTAGAGTTCTCCTTGTACAATTTTTTTTAAATGTCAAAAAGCATGCTATGTGAACTTTGCAGATGACTCAATTCGTAAAGTAAGCTGATTTCAAGTTACCTAAACCAGACAGGTCACAAAGTGTAATCCCCAGACTGTGTTTTGTTAACATTTCACAACAAAAGTGCTATATTGACCTGACTGATCTCCAAACGAGTTGTGGGCATTATTCACCATGAAACTTAACGGTCAGAACTATTGAATAATATCCACGTCGTCCAGTTTGAATGTCACAGCTACTCAAGGCATTAACTTGATGAACCATCAAGGGCAGTGCAGACTTTCATTTTTGATGCTTCAAATGTAATTTCACAGATAAAACAACAAGACTTAATTTTTTTATTTTCTGATTAGGGAGTAATGTTACAGTCAATGCTGTGCACCCAGGGGTGGTTAACACAGAACTTGGCAGACACACAGGGATGCATAAATCAAAATTTTCCAGCACAACATTGGGTAAGTGATTAAACTACTTCTCACTTTTATGAATTACAAGAGCCTTTCTGGGAAAGAGCATTCTTCACTGAGTTGACGGCCTTCCAGCCACTATTGTTTATCTTGGTTGTCCCTGTGGAAGTACACCATACAGCATTCAGTCCTACATCATGGAGCTGCTTGGGATGAAACTTGCTTCAAAAACTATGGTATCTTTCTCCAGACTTCTTTTGCAGAAGTATCATCCATGTGGAAACGGACAATGATCTCTTCCCTGCCACAGCCACCATGAGTGCAACATGCAAAGTGGTTGAGATAGCTGACCTGTAAGAAGGACCTAATGGGAGAGCCTTTCCAGCACCAGTTGTGTTTTGGTGCTTGTTTGAAACTTCTGACGATGAGACATCGTCCCAAATGACTTTCATTTACTAAGGATCCAGTTGACATCTACCATCTTTTCCTGCTGGGCAAGTGCTAAAGGAAGTCATTTTGGAAATTGAGTTATCAGATTGAATTAACCCTTTAATACTTCATTCAAGTCCTCGTTTGTGACAGTTAAACTTTTGGTAGAACTATTGTCCCCATGCAATGACTGTAGACCCCAAGGTACTGTGATAATTAGTCAGTGACCAATAAAATACTACTACAGTTTTAATGCTCGAGGCATGTCCTCTTATGCTTCCATACACAGGAGACCAATGTAATCCAATTGTTAAATTTCTGTTATTTAAATAACCCAATTACAAAAGATGTAACTTAACACTCCCTTTCAAGGTCTCTGGCTTCTCACACTCGGACTTCTATGAACTTGTAAGCATTCCAATGACAACATTAACTCAAACAAGCAAAAATGGGATGACATTGGAACTCGGCTATTATGCGCTGACTCCACACCAGGGCTGAAAATTTCTTTCAGGGTCAGGGCTTCTTTTCCAGTCTTTCTCAATTCTTCATTAGGAGATGCCATCACATAGTAAAAATACCTTCTGTATTTGTTGATTTTAGTAGAATATTTGCACTCTAACAGCATCAGAGTTAGAATTCATCAGTATCCTAAAAAAACAGCATAGCTCTGTTAAAATTAGAGCACAGTGCACAAGAAAAGCACTAATAACATAACAGTACTTAAACTGATACAAGACTACAGGCATATGTTAGCAACGAGTGTTTTTGTTTTAATCAGTGTTTCATAAAAGTATAGTGTAACTTCATTGCTTGTTAGCCTTTTGCCTCTATGAATAAAGGTAAGGATCTCTTGTGCTTTTTAAACAACCATCTCAATTCATTTACTGCCTTATAAAGAATTGAATATGTACACTCTCTCAAGTCCTTCCCTGTCTGACCCCCTTTAAAATTGTACTATTAAAATTTTGTTGCCCTTCCTCAGTGGCAAAAACAAGGGGTCCTCTTGGCTGTCAATAATTTACCATTGGTAATCTGTTTCCTTTTTACCTTTCATCTGGTTTTCAATGTTTAGGAAATTTTTTTTTCAATCTTCCATCAACACCTTACTTAGAAGTTTTTATGAGTGATACTTTGTATTCTCTATACTGGGGGTCAAGAAGACATTGGGTCTTCATATTTGTTCTTTTCCAGGACCAATTTTCTGGTTTCTAGTGAAATCCCCACGTTTAGGAGCACAACCCTCCATATATCTGACTGTTGCGGAAGAACTGGAAGGGGTATCTGGGAAATACTTTGATGTTAATAAAGAAAAAGACCCTGCTCCGCAAGCTCTGGATGATGAGACAGCCAGGCGTTTGTGGGAAGTAAGTGCCAAATTAGTGGGACTGCAAAATGACAATTCTGATCCACAGCTTAAATAATTCCAAAGCTAATGTGGACAATGTCAGATTAGCAGGAGAATGTTAGAAACTGCGTCAAGAAAAACTGTGTTTAGTCACGCATTGCAAGGTAATCTTTATTTATACTGCTGATCGTTCTTTGATATATTTTGAAAAACAATTAATTTAACTATTACATCATTGCTTCTTATTGCATGTGAAGCTACACTGATCTGTTTACCTTGTTTTCTTAAAACCATTCATCATTGCATTGATTGACTGTGTTATGCTGTTTAGTGGATTAAATCTGGTTCACTAATGTCCTTTAGGAGAAGAATGGTCTGGCCTACATGTGACTCCAGACCCACAGCAATGTGATTGACTCTTAACTGCCTTCTGGGATGAGTTATAAATGCTGGCCTAGTCAGTGATGCTTTCATCCTGTGAATGAACAATAAAAAAAAATTGGAAGCTGATACATGCACACAGTCCATCAGACAACAATGTATGACTCAAGTATGGGAAAACTTAAAGGAAAGGGGGAAAAAAGTTCTCCAAATATGAATGTGTAAACTGCTGTAATCATTTTCACAATATTAAAATGAGTTGCTATTATTTTGGTGAAAGGATTGTTGTAATTACTAGTTTTGCCAAGAGGTGTCTCACTTCTTTTAAAATTTTTATGTTTAAAAGATTGTATTCTGCTAGTTGATGAATCAACATATGGCCAATCAACTGATTAAATACTTCTGGAATCACATCAATTTAAAAAATACCATAATCTTTAACAAAAATATATTGTACCCATAAACTTTTTAAAGGTATATTTTAATAGTTCAAATAATAGTTCAAATTTGGCACTGCAAAAAGTAATAGATCTGTTCATTTTCCAATAAAGTCTGTGAGGCACTTCACTGCACTTGCCATGACAGGTTATTCTGCAATGGATGTTTGGACTTGGAAGGTTATAGCTTGAACAGTTTTACATGGTTTCTAGTTCCTCAGCATAACACAGCCTTTCCTCGGTGAGCCTTTGCCTTAGCTATCTCAACCTTGAATGTACTTAACAACCCAGCTTTGACAGCCTTCTGTGGTAAAGAATTCCACTAACTCTCTAAAAGAAAATATTGCTTCTCCTCTCCATATTAAAAGGGTGACCTCTTATTCTAAGATTATACCCTCTGGTTCTAGACTCTCCCACACATATCAGTATCTAACCTATTACATCCCCTAAGAATCTTGTATGTTTCAAGAAGGTTGTCATCGTCTTCTGAACTCCAGTGACTACAAGCCCAATTGACATGATGTTTCTTCATAAGAAGTCACTCCATACTCGTGATCAACCTGGGAAATTTCCTCTGTTACCAATAGTTCTTTTCACTATAAGATCAGCAAGTTTTTGGCAGACTAGAGAGCATTTTTCACTAAATTGGGAACAGCCTAGAAAAATCTGAAGAAGGGTCCAGAACCGAAACGTCAGCTTTCCTGCTCCTGTGATGCTGCCTGGCCTGCTGTGTTCCTCCAGCTCCACACTGTTATCTCTGACTCCAGCATTTGGAGTTCTTACTATCTCCTGTACTATGGAGTTGCTTGGGATCAACTGCAACAAAAGCCACTGCATCTCCTTCTTCTGAGATAGTAGGAGCTGCAGATGCTGGAGAATCTGAGATAACAAGGTGTAGAGCTGGATGAACACAGCAGGCCAAGCAGCATCAGAGGAGCAGGAAGGCTGATGTTTCGGGCCTAGACCCT